GCGACCGTCTCAAACATACTCTCTATCGATCGAACTTTTTCCTACAAAGGTCAACAAGTCAACCAGCAAGATGCCGCCAAAAGACGCTTCAAAGGACGCTTTCAAGCCGAAACCAAACTCCAAGTCAGAAAAGAACAAACCGAAAGGCGGGAAAGCCAAGGATGAGAAGCGTGCCGCCGAGAAGGCCAAGAAAGAAGCCAAGGAAGGAGGTGGTTCAATCTCGCTTGGAACAAAGAAGTAAACGGTCGACAGGTGAGTGCGAACATTTTTTTCGACGCGCAGACAAAATCCAAAATTTTTCTACAACTTCCCTGCTTAAATTGGATAGCCTGAATAGCTGGATATACAATAAAAGTTGAAAAAAATTTCCATCGACATGTACCAAAAAAGAAAATGCTCGGTACGTCGAACGTGTTGGATGAAGTCCAAAATTTTTATCGATGTTTCGTGCTCAACTTCGATTGCCAGAACAACTGAACTTATAAGGTAAAAACCCATTTTTCTCTACCGGTGCCTGTACCAAAAATTGGTCAGTGTGCTTCAGCGAGTGCGACCAAAGTAAGTACTCTTTGCTACATAGAAGATATTTTTGAATAAAACTTTTTCATGAAGTACTCGAACACTTTTGATGCAAGAGATGATGTTGGTTTAGGAGATTCTCACTCATGTTGTCAACTGGGCATACGCAGAAATGTTCAAATGGTTTTCTGACATAGAGATCAAGCAGAATACTATAATTCCCATTTCCAAGAAATGCTCCATCTCACGAAGTACGCAGGTTTGAACAAAAACCCTTTCCTCTTCCAAAATCCTAATTGATGAACCTTGCGCGAATATTTTGTTTAGCAACTCTGTCTTTGAGTTTAGATGAGAGTCTTCAAGTTTTTCAACAGTTCAAGACCAAATATATTCTTGTTAGACATGTTGCTTACGCATTTCTTCTCTTTTACAGGCAGACCAATTAACATGAACATCAACAACGCCAGTCGTGAGCAACCAACAGCTGCTCATTAACATTTTTACTCGTCAGAGAAATAAACTATGCGAGTTTTTTTTTCATGTTGCACAATAAATAATTGTGGGTGAATCCATGGGGTTTCTACCACTTTTTGGAAGAGTTGTTTTTTTGATTTTGTCCATCCAGTTAGACAGAAAATTGTCAAAAACGGTGTGTAGCCGGAAGAACATGTTTTTTCTTCTACTTAACAGCGGATTCGCCAGAGAACTTATCAACTTACGAGTAATCGGTCGTAGCAAAAAATTTATTTTCAATATAAATAGTGCCTCGTTGATTGATGGGAAAAAATCGACTGGGGAAAAGTTTTGGCAGGTGAAATACCTTGATCACCTATTTTACGTTTCAGAGGTAATTATTGTCCGAATGTTTTTCAAAATGAAAATCTGATACCAAATTCGTGTTCAGCATCAAAAACTGAGTCGAATAGGCTATACTAGAATTTTTCAGAGGGTCTTATGGGTCGCTTTACTGCGGATGTTTGTCCTGACGGCAAAGCTGGACCATATAGTCGACTCTATACTTCGACCCTGCAAACTCTAGAGGATGCTTCTTTGCCAATGTAAGTACGCAGTTTTGTAGAAATGATCAAGGGCTACAAGATGCACTATTTGAGTTTTAATTTTGAATGAGTTAAAATGCCAAAAGTGGCTCTTGGGTTAGGAGACTAAATGCGTAAATGTATCAAAAATCCAATATGCGTTTCTGTTCAAAACATGGTCCGATGACTCGCAAGATTTCATCACAGATACAGCTTCGGTTGCTCGTTCTACTCGCAACCTCAAAATTACAAAATGCTATGTTACACGTGCATGGTTCTCTAGAGATCAAGTCTCATAAATAAAGTACCTGTGCTTGAATACTCACACTTATTTATATCATGTTTTTTGAATGCATTTTAGATTTATACTTCGGGAATGGCATCGTTTGTCTGACTAACGGTCAATCTTTCCTTAAGTGCATTGCTTTTGGCCAAGGTCCTTCGAAGAAAACTCATATAGAGATCGGGTACGCCTCATTTTAAAGAGCAAATATTTTTCTTTAAATTGATAACCAAGCAAGCGCTGACAGTTTCTCCTATGCCTGCATACATACTTGAAACTGAATACTCTGAATACGCTGAATACCGCTCTCACTGAATACCGCTTGAAACTATTTGCTCTCAAAAATGAGGCGGCTCAGCTCCGTATGTGCTTTCATCTTCACTCTATAGTACTATAGTACACTATTAAACCAATGCAGATGCACATGAACTTAAATCAAAGATGGAAAGTTTTATTATTCTGAAATCTTCGTGCGAAAAAAACTGTTGTTTGACTTAATAGCAAAGATAATAGTGGAGGGCACTCCGTGATGAATTATCCATGATTACTGATGATTTGATAGTTTATCTATCTGGTTACCCAGAAGGCTGAAAATTTTAGGACAGGCACAATTCCATGTAGGCCACAATCTCTGATATCGAAAATTGAAAAGTTGCTGCTTCGAAATCCTCGGTTTATAAACCGAGGATTTTGAAGCAGCAACTTTTCAATTTAGTACTATAGAGTGAAGATGAAAGCACATACGGAGCTGAGACGCGTCATTTTTGAGAGCAAATAGTTTTCTTTCAATTGATAGTTAAACAAATCTTGATAGATTTATGTATTCAAAATCGTTGAAATAAGTACTGAATCGTGCGAGTGAGTATTCAGTTTCAAGTATGTATGCAGGCATAGGAGAAACTGTCAGCGCTTGCTTGGTTATCAATTTAAAGAAAAATATTTGCTCTTTAAAATGAGGCGTACCCGATCTCTATATGAGTTTTCTTCGAAGGACCTTGGCCAAAAGCAATGCACTTAAGGAAAGATTGACCGTTAGTCAGACAAACGATGCCCTTCCCGAAGTATAAATCTAAAATGCATTCAAAAAACATGATATAAATAAGTGTGAGTATTCAAGCACAGGTACTTTATTTATGAGACTTTATAATCATAAGACATTTTTTTACTACCACAGTGCCATCCCAGACACAGTTTATCATTCAAGAAAGAAACTTTCAACATAATTAATAAGAGAAATTTTTTCATTTCATCCATATTTTCTATTTTGCACTAAAAGATAAAAAACGTAGTAATATTTTACTAGATCGGTATAATTTTGTTGTAGTTCTCGTTTTGCAACAAATATTGAATAGAAATTTTTCGTAAACAAATTTTGTTCGTTATTCAATGGCGTTTCAGTGATAACAGTTCCATTTTTTAATTTCACCTGTTACGGGTATTGTTTTTCCCTTTTCTCCATCATCACTTTTTTGATTGAATGTCGTTTTAAAATTAAAACGAATTGCTGACAGTAGACATGTACTCTAAATAATCGACTACGTAGTACTTAGCAGCCCATGCGAAGTCTTTGTGTACCCCAAGTTATAACTGTAGACTTCTCTAAAAAGATCCGTAAATTATCAACAGCTTTCTTGTCATCTTTCCTGTAGATATTAGAACACACTGGTTTCTTGGAAAATTTGGGAAAACCCAATTATTTGCAAAAAAGTTAGTCAGAAAATTATTTTTAGAAAGTGATTATTGTCGGCCACAATCGACGAGGTCAAAATTGTTTTTTCCAAAGAGTAAAATAAATTCCACTCGCCTTTCTCCCAAATGTACCAATACAATTGATAACAGAATAATTAAAAATTTTTCTTTTTTTTTGTATATCATGATTAAAACGACTAGTGTTTGAATAATCACGGTTGTTTGTTGAACTGGAGAATGATACTGCATGGTTTTGTAACACAAAAACAAATTCTTTCAATGAATGATTGTACTCTTCGTTTCCTTTCTCTACTCTGCGCTTAATAAAGAAGAATGTAAAGAAAGGTTGGCTGTTTGCAAACTATGTTTGTTATTCAACCATCCTTTATGCTATCTAAACATGAAATATTTTTGCTTTGTCATCTCCGGGTGCTGTAGTCTTCGAATAAACGACGAATATGATTGCGTCGGTTTCATTTCTTCCATTAACATGTATCTTCTCAGTTAGAGATGAAAATTGTGAGCAGTTCATTCAGCTTTGAATCTGGTGACGGAGTCGGGATTAAATTTTTTGAAAAAAGGAAATCTCTGAATTTCAGAGCAGATTTCGGTCAGATTTTTCGGCTCTGAATCAATTATTAGAAGAAAAAGCGTTATGTAAATAACAAAGATTTCTAAACTCTGAGAAAAATTTAGAATAGTTTTAGATAACATTTAGATAACTTTCACTATTATCAATATTCAAGAGTCGTATTACTATTAGTAGGAAAATACTACCATTATTATCAAGCGCACTCAATAAATCCTCATGTTATTATTTGAGTCAGTCCCGAAAGAAATGGTAAAGATATTCAGTTTTGAATTAGTAGAAAGCAAAAGAGAAGAAAAAAACTTTTTGTAGAAAGTAATATTATCAGTTTTGTCGGAGCTGATTTTATCCTGATTCAGGCCTGGTAAAACTGCATAGCTGATTCACTTTTCAGATGGAACTGATCGTCGACTAGTGTCTTATTGAGTTCTTGAAAATAATCGAAAAATAATTGACCAAAATATGGAATAAAATTTTATCCATTAACTGAACTGCATTCATATTATATTTAAACGTTACCCATAAAAAATGAATCTTACAATGTTATCCTTCTCATTTGTCTAATTTTCTAGAAGGAATTTAGTATAAAATAATCCAACAAAAAGAAAATACTTATAGATCACAAAAAAGTTATATGAAAAACTGAAAGAGAAAATTGATAAATTGGCAAGCAAATCAATTTTCAAAACACAAAATCTTAGAAAAGTATAAAGAATCTTGATCATAACAAATAACTTAGTGTAACAATGTAGCTGTTTCCGTTCGACAATGAACATACTTCAGTAATACAACAAATTATACACGATAAACATCAAATTTAAAAAAGATGAAAAATACACAACGTTTTTCTATGACCCATCGTTGATTCCATTATCAATCATAGGCAACCAAAACAACTAAATGAGATAGAGTAAACAATTGTATTATAGAGGTATATTCTTGTTATTCCTTCACGTACCATATTTGTATGTGCACTAGCAAACATTAAAAAAGCAGGATTGAATTGAATTGATTGAACTGGTCCGGTGTGATCGGTTTGTAATTCGGCTACTTTTTCACCAGTTTCGGCTTTATAAATAAGGATACGATTATCACCAGACGCTAGAATACAATATAGAAATGTAAAATATAATAAAATTTTCTAATTTTCTCTCCACATACATACCACATAGAATATAACTTGAATCAGGACTAAAACAAGCTTGTAATGGTTGTTGAGTATCATTTGTTATATCCTAAAAGAAACAATTGACAACTTTAGCAGCAACAGCGTTTGTACACTGGAAGAATAAAATGACGAATTCAAGCTAGACTGTAGAGAACAGTTGCATTCTTTTCATTTTTATTGTTGTACAATGTTTATTCAAGAACACAGTTTTCCACTTACAATGAAAACTGCTAGATGCAATTCCACAACTGAGAACTCACTATTCTACTAAGAAGTCACTATTCTTCTCATCCATTATTACTTGTTGAAATATTTACCATAAATTTGTGAATGGATAAACCTTGAAATGCTTCAATTAAATGTAAACTTGTACTATTTGTTGCGATCGAAATCATTTTTCCATCTGGACTAAATTTCATATTTGTCCATTGTTCTTGTTGATCTGTTGGATCTTGTTGTAAAACTGGTCGGAACGTTGTAAATGGACCCTAATAGAACGAACAATCTTTCATTAGGATAAAAACACAGAGTTCGAGGAAAATACATACTTTATCAAAATGTCTTATATCGTATAATTTGATCATCGATGAATTGATTCCAACAGCAAATATCACTCCTGAAGAAAAGAGAAAGAAATGATAGATGACAGAAAATTTTAGCAACTAATTTTTACCCTCTGGATCAAAATTTGCTATTGGTCGTCCGCTAACACCATTAGTCGCTGGAAGTGTGAGAATTCCTTGGGCATTCGGTACTCTCGTATCCCACAATCTTAATGTATTATCTAATGCACCAGTAAGAAATGTGTCTTCTGTTGCACAAATAGTGAGTGTAACAACACTAAAACAAATGAATCATAGATCTAGTTTGACTTAAAGATGTGGTATCACTCAGTTTCGTCTTACCGTTTTGTGTGACCAGGAAAATATCTGACATATCGATTTCCTTCAAGTGCTAATAGTCTGACAGCATCTAGAATACAAATTTATGATTATACATTTGTATAAAAACTTTGTTAAATTTACCATCGACTTTGGTAGAACTATGTAAAACTTGTTCTGTTCCATGAATAAAATGAATTAAATCCACGCCATATTTTTTACTATATAATGTTTTTTTCGTACTGAAACAAACACACGTTTAATAACATTTAATGACAAAATCTAATTAAGATTCAAACCTACTCTCCTTCTTTGCAATCATAAACAACAATTGAATCATCATCACTACTACTAATTAACGTTTCACCATCTAATGAAAAATTCATGGCATTAATTCGATCTTTATTAACATTAAATGTTTTTGCTATATGAAAATTTTTCATTGTATCCTCGGTAAATTTAATTTCCGAACTCATATTATAAGAATCAAAACAACACAAAAATAATCTATAAGACAAAAGTATTATGAAACATTCTGTTACTAATGGGTGTAAGGAAGTCTACCAAGTGACTTTTAATTTAAAAAAAGTAGTATTACTCGTCAAATTTACTGTTTTGCAGACAACCATTCTATAAATCCAATAGCCGTCACTCTCAAAATTCTTTACAAAAACGAACTTTTAATATCTATCGTCTAAGTGAATATTAGATCCAAAAGATGAAAGTCAAAAGAGAATTAGAATGCATTTTTTATAACCACAATAGTTAATTATGCCCTTTTAAATACCAGGTATCTTGTTGTCTCTGTATTCATTTATTTCATGTACTTTTCTAACAAATTAAATTATATTTACAACAGCATAAAACATACAACGAAAATGAATCTAATCGGTCGAAAAATACCTAGTTTTTGAGATTAGTAAGTGTACACTCTACCTGTTGACTTCTATAAAATCGTAGCTGAGTGACGTGCAGATAAAAGTGACTGTGTATACAGATAATTTAAAGAGAATTATTGGAAAGTCTATCATTCGAATAATGAGTTATATCACTATGGCACAATGCATAGAATTTTCCTATCAAAATCAGAAGATCTGTGATCGCTGATCATCTATGTATTTGAGAACATCAAATACATAATCAATTAGTATGTGGTTTTAACTGAAAGCTTCTTCACAGGCTTCCTAACCCGTTAAATAAATATAAATAGTTTGTTCCGAATGATACGTTTAGCAATCGTATGATTGGTCACAATATATTAGTACTAATAAGATGTTTTCAAGAAAAAATGTCTCGAATCCCCAATTTATGCTGCTTGAAAACAGAGTTAAATTGTGAAATGATCATTTATTCAATCGATCTTTTTAACGTGAATAAAAATAGAGAAAATTTAGTATATGCACTGAAAGACAAAAAATGGTAATAAATACAAAAACTTTCAGAAAAAAAGATCATGTAGAGTAGATAAATAAGCTGTGTTTGAAAAAATATGCTAAAGTTGAGTGTATGGTAACCAATCTTTAGAATTTGTTACTAATATCCAAAGATAATATTGTAAGTAACTCACAATGTATCTTAATTTAATAACTATTTGACTAAAGAGAACATTAAGTTATCTGCCTGAGTGCCATTTCTCTGGAAAAAAAAAGACAGAAACTTTACTTATTATAGCAGATACTACCCAGAATGTGAGAACGATACAAAACTTTCATAAATCTTATAATCTATCTGCAACTATGATGTTATATGTCTGAACATAGTCACCGGTAACGTCGTATTATTTTTCCTTCATATTTCATTAATTACCATCTAGATAAGAAGAATATGCTTATATTAATACCTAATCTATTTTTCATTCTATACTTAATGTATGACATTTTCTCATTTTATTATATTTTTCCAATGTTTCGCGAAACTTAAATCAATATGATATACACGGTGTTATGAAAATGAACATGAAAAATAACTTTTTATAATGTTTGAATAAATTCTTTTTAGATCAACTAAAATATTCAATCAATACACAATTATAAAGGTGTAATTATCGATTACAATTGGAACTTTTTAACCTTTCGCTTGAACCGGTACATACATTTCACCTTTGTTCCAGATTCAGACAATGTGAGTAACAGTATTAGCAGTTTTATGTTATATTTCAACTATTATGAGGGAAAAATATTGTTCCATCTGTTTCTACTAAACTATTCATTTTATCATAAGGGCACTTTTTCTAGTTTTTGGTTCTACTAATGATGCGATCTAAAACGAAACGTTAATAGAACAAATTTTCCATATAAATAGATAACTTATAGGATATAAGGATGAAGAATACTGATCGATCAAAATGAAAAAAAACTTCATCAAATTTAAAATTTTTCATTGTTTATAAGCAAAAATATACAAAAACATCAAAAAAGTAAAGTGAGTATACAATAAACATATTGCAAAAAAATAGTAACCGAAAGTATAAATTTTCATAGAAAATTCTTTTTTTCATCTGTATATCATAAAAAATTTGTATGCTGTAAAATTAGTCTTTATGATTAATGAATATAACCGATGCACAATAACCGTTATTCATTACTTCAAATATCATATCGTTGACAAGATGACAAAATGTTGGTCCAAATGGATTTGTAGTATTTATGGATGATGAACGATTTAAAATACATGGTTTCAAATGATTATCAAATATTTCTTGAATGGCAGGCCACTAAACACAATAATACTACATGTAAAATAGTTTGTTTTACAAACATATCAATTCTACAAACCCGTGTTGATGGTGTGACTGTCAGATCCTTTCCCGTTGAATAATTTTTAACAGTTAATTCAAAATTACATGGAAAATAACTAGAAAAACAAAAATAATTTGATGTTATAGTTTTACAAGTAGAATTTATTTTTACCTGTCAAATAAATAATGACAAGGAAAATTCGTATGTAAAATAAATTTTTTCACTGTATGGTTCATTCCATCAAATAGAATATCCTAAAAAGGGTATACATTTTACTAGAAAGAAAATAAGCGTGAAAAAGAAAATTACATACCAATCCAAAATTAAGATAATTAAAAAAATAATCTGAATTTTCTTGACTTCTTTGACTAGATGAATTTATTGATGCTGGATTACGAATTTTTATTTTATCTTCTGTTTTATAATATACACTGTTAGGACTACCAATCACAGATAATACATCCTAAATGAACAAACTATCACTGATAAATCACTCAGGAAAAAAATGTATGTAAAATTGAACAAACCCTCCTATTATTTCACATTTTAGCTTCTTTCATGAACTAGCCATAAGAGTGTTCTCTCATCTTACTGGTCGTTGCTTCTAATTAGAGTGGCGATTTTCTCACTCTAAACTATCTCCAATAAGGGTCTATCAGACAAACTTTTCATCTTTTTCCACCAGCGAGTGTCCGCCGATAATTATTTGAATATTAATTATCTGTCAAAACTTGAATTTACCCACTTTGACTGAAACCTATTGAAAGCTCTGCTATTAATATGAGGAGATCTCACCTGACATGTGTCATCGAAATGTACAGCTGCATCTAGATAATCAATATGGTTGTCCGCATCGTAAGATTTTGTAGCATGTGCTAGAAAAAAAACATGTAAACACCAAAATATTCGCGCTTTGTCCTTGGTATTACCTTCTACAATTAGCCGGCAAGCAATACCGATGGTCTTCTGATTTTCAGTTAAATTACTTAGTTTATCAAGAAATACTGAACGATTAAAACAATGAACGGGTAATGGAGGGACACTAAAAATATGTAAAGACAAAAATTTAATAATAAAATACAATAATCGCTCTTTTAACTAACTTACATAAATTCAAGAGGAACATCTCCAGCATAAATATAGATTTTACTAACAACCGGTGATTGGCCATCAGGAAATTGTAATGAGCTAAGTCCATGCATTGATTTCGTCTACAAAAAAAAAGAGAAAAACAAGTTTCACAGATACATTAAAAGTACTTAATAACATCAGCAACCAACTATAACTGATATTTGATTGTATAATAACAAAGTGTGTTTGAGTGTTCGTTAAAAAACACGTGCACGAATATTCGAGCAAATATTATACTTACTTCAACTTGAGGTCCAATTTGATTGAAAAAAAATGTTAAACCAGGAAAATGCATCAAAAATGACTGACTCTCACGATTGTAATCTAAATATAGACAAAAAATAAATGTATAGATGTACTAAATAATTCAAGGAACTTCAATAAATGTTTTTACCTCCTGGACGTGTAGGACCAAAAACATTGTTGACAATATCAATAGTAGGGATAACTTGCGGACTATTAAAACATTGACCACTACAATAAAACCGAATTTCTGCATTAGACACTTCAGTGGCATGTATTAAAAGTGAATTTCAAAAATTGTTTCAGAAGAAAATAGAAACACGAAAAATGAGTTTCGACGAAAAATAAGTTTTCTACAAAATTGAGAGTGTATGGAACAGAGGTGCAGAATCTACTAAAAAATTTTTGGGGGGCGGGGGGGGGGGGGGGAATTTTTTTAGGGTTGGGAAAAAAAGGGAATTTTGTTTCCGGTTTACCGGGTTGGGGTTTTTTTTTTTTTTTAAAAAAAAAAATTTTGAAATTTTTTTTAAAACG